CAGAGATGCTGATCCTCAGTACCAGTCTTGGGGTTTCCTGAAGAAAAGTTTCTGCCAGGTTGGGCAGTTGGTAGTGTTATTCCCACTCTGTAGATACAAAACTGACATAAAGAAGTCAGTGAGGAGGCTGCAGCCAATGGTGACAGGCCATGTGAAGATGCATGGTACATATCCTGGTTGCCATCAGCAAGCGTTAAGCGGGCAGTCGTGTGCACTGCAGACAGAGGACCATGGCGTCAACTGTAGTGGCAAGTGAGGGCCAACTTTGGAGATGGGGACTGAGCAAGAACTGCACACATCTCCATATGCTGTGGTCGTTCAGTGACCAGCAGAGTGTGAGAATATACCCAAGGGCCACACCCCCATTCCCAAGCCCTGCACTTCATACACTAGGCCACCCAAGCTGCTCATGTGCCAAAAGCAGGCTAACTCAAGTGGGCATAATAAAAAGCATTGGGCTGGATCCAGCCAGTTTTTCCACTGGTGAAAAAGGAAGACAGGAGTCCCCTTTGACTACCATGTTCCCTACCATGCCAGTTTGGTGTAGTGGTTAAGTGTGTGGACTCTAATCTGGGAGAACCGGGTTTGATTCCCCACTCCTCCACTTGCACCTGCTGATGTGACCTTGGGTCAGTCGCAAGCTCTGGCACAGCTGTCCTTGAAAAAGAGCAGTTTCTGTCAAGAGCTCTCTCAGCCCCACCCACCTCACAGGGTGTCTGTTGTGGGGAGGGGAAGGGAAAGGAGTTTGAAAGCCACTCTGAGACACCTTTGGGTAGTGAAAGGTGGGGTATAAATCCAATCTCTTCTTCTTCTCTTCTACCAAAAAGACATGTTTGAGATTGTGAGACCTGGCCGTGGTAAGGAGGGAAGTTGAATGAAAAAGCTGACTAGATCCGATTCGTTACAGCTAAGATTACTTTGAGGCCACAGTTTCAGAGGGTAGACATATTGGTCTACAGTAGAAAAGCTTAATTCACATCCAGTAGCATCTTAGAGACCAACAAGATTTTTGGGGTGTGTGTGTGAGATTTCGAGTGTCAAAGGTATCTGGTGAAGGGAACATACCTTGAAAATCTTGGTTGGTCTCTGAGGTGCTACTGAACTCGGATCATTGAGGCCACAGATCCTGTTCTTAGACAATTTCTTTAACTATCATTCCAGTTCTTCAGATCCATATTATACAAATTATATTACCATAGACAATTAAAATACTTCAATTTAATAAAGAAAGATGTGTTTTGAAATTTAGAAAAAAGTACAGCTATGTACAGATTAAAATGCTTTGGTATTGTGTTTTTGATGATCCACTGTAATTTGTGAAGAGAAGTCCAGTACAGCACTGCAATGCAGATTTATCCCAGGAAGGAGATTGCTGATGGCTGAAGAAACTGCTGACCTTCTGTATGAAAAAGATCAAAACGAATTAGAAATAGAACCTGTCTAGCTTTTCTGGATACTATGAAATCAGTGTAATCAATGGCATTCTGCATTTTTGTTCAGTGTTTTCGTACATATATTTTTTTACAGTTATTCAGTTTTTGTGAGAATTTCAATGCTATTCCATTGTTAATCCCAACAGTTTGAAATCACAGGAGAAAAATAAAGTGGGGGGGGGAGCAAATGGCAGTGTTACAGTTACTTACAAATTTCATATTTCCTGGCCACAATTACTGAATTTCTTGGATGTAATTTATTACAAAAGTTTAAGTAACGTGTATACGTGAATAGACTATTGTGTTTTTCACATCTTCAGAGATGTTACGTGGAAATAAAATATTTATCCTTACTATTCTTCAAGGCTTCACTCTTTACTGTGTCTGTCACATGTTCTACTCTCTGAAATTTGACAGGAAGCTGTTTCCACAATAATTGTCCAAACAGGTGGCTAATGTAGTTAATTATGGTCTGACTGGGCTGGAATTTACGGAGTGGACTTTCCAGTGCAATGCACCACTTAATAGTTTGTCCTCTTGGACTGAGATGTCTTTGTATGTGTTTGTAATCAATACTGTCTGTGTCACAAACCAATTAAGCCAGATGTTCCAGATTTACATCAGTATTAAGCACTGAGTCAGGATTTGTAGTACTTGCAGCACTGGAACATCCAGATACATAAGCTAAGCCAGTCCCTAGGCCTGAGCAAGTAAAAAGTCAAGTGCAGTCAAAGAGTCCAACCTGAAATCTCCCCCCCCCCCCGCAGTGAATGCAAAACAAGGGTCATGCAAAAATTCAGCATTTAACAAAAAGTGTTAAGGAAGCAGAAAGACAAGGTTCATCTTTGTGGCTTCTGTGCAGTCCCTCATGGGATTGTGCTTTCACAGGCTGACCATGAAGAGCAGCTAGTAAGCTTTGTAGAGAAGTTCCTAGAGCCCAAGAGTGCTTCTCCACCCCTCTTCAGTGTAGCCTTTCCCACCCAAAGGGTCAGAAG